AAGAACATAAGAAAGGAGGAACACTGCAGGAGGCCTGTTGGCCCATACTAGGCAGGTCCTTTACAATTCATCCCACTAACAAAACATTTGCCCAACCCAACTTTCAATGCCACCCAAGAAACAAGCTCAAGCTCTGATGTGAAAGTCCCACTCAAATCCAATCCCTCCCACTCATGTACTTATCCAACCTAAATTTGAAACTACCCAAAGTCCCAGCCTCAACAACCCAACTAGGTAGACTGTTCCACTCATCAACTACCCTATTTCCAAACCAATACTTTCCTATGTCCTTTCTAAATCTAAACTTATCTAATTTAAATCCATTACTGCGGGTTCTCTCTTGGAGACATCCTCAAGACCTTATTAATATCCCCTTTATTAATACCTATCTTCCACTTATACACTTAAGAACATAAGAACGAAGGAACACTGCAGAAGGCCTACTGGCCCATGCGAGGCAGGTCCAAGTCTCCTACCGGCTTAAGCCAATGCACCCAACCTAGTCAGGTCAGGTCACATTGAAAGTTAAGACACATGTGCAACATCTGGATATCTTTATTGTAGTAGACGTTTCGCCATCCAGTGGCTTTATCAATACAGATTCTAGGACATAATAGGAAGACAGTAGAACTATATACAAAAGATGAGGTAATCAGTCCCTCGGCCTTGGAGTTAGTGTTCACAGCATCGTGGTGGAGGAGAGTCTGGAGCAAAGGCAAGAAGACTGGCGCTTTTTATAGGCGTCAGTGAATGGGACGGGCAGCAGACGAGGTCAGTCACTGGTAGGCGGGATTCCCCAGTGGAAGTAGGTCCTTCCCAAAGAGATGGGTTAGTTGCAGCAGCCGTGAAGAAGGTCTTGTAGATGTCCTCTGAACCAAGATTCCATGATGTTGCAGTGTCTGACAAGTTGTGCAAAGAAAGGTATAAAATACCGACAATATGAAAGTTAAGACACATGTGCAACATCTGATATCTTTATTGTAGTAGACGTTTCGCCATCCAGTGGCTTTATCATACAGATTCTAGGACATAATAGGAAGACAGTAGAACTATATACAAAAGATGAGGTAATCAGTCCCTCGGCCTTGGAGTTAGTGTTCACAGCATCGTGGTGGAGGAGAGTCTGGAGCAAAGGCAAGAAGACTGGCGCTTTTTATAGGCGTCAGTGAATGGGACGGGCAGCAGACGAGGTCAGTCACTGGTAGGCGGGATTCCCCAGTGGAAGTAGGTCCTTCCCAAAGAGATGGGTTAGTTGTCTTCCTATTATGTCCTAGAATCTGTATTGATAAAGCCACTGGATGGCGAAACGTCTACTACAATAAAGATATCCAGATGTTGCACATGTGTCTTAACTTTCATATTGTCGGTATTTTATACCTTTCTTTGCACAACTTGTCAGACACTGCAACATCATGGAATCTTGGTTCAGAGGACATCTACAAGACCTTCTTCACGGCTGCTGCAACTAACCCATCTCTTTGGGAAGGACCTACTTCCACTGGGGAATCCCGCCTACCAGTGACGACCTCGTCTGCTGCCCGTCCCATTCACTGACGCCTATAAAAAGCGCCAGTCTTCTTGCCTTTGCTCCAGACTCTCCTCCACCACGATGCTGTGAACACTAACTCCAAGGCCGAGGGACTGATTACCTCATCTTTTGTATATAGTTCTACTGTCTTCCTATTATGTCCTAGAATCTGTATTGATAAAGCCACTGATGGCGAAACGTCTACTACAATAAAGATATCCAGATGTTGCACATGTGTCTTAACTTTCATATTGTCGGTATTTTATACCTTTCTTGCACAACTTGTCAGACACTGCAACATCATGGAATCTTGGTTCAGAGGACATCTACAAGACCTTCTTCACGGCTGCTGCAACTAACCCATCTCTTTGGGAAGGACCTACTTCCACTGGGGAATCCCGCCTACCATGACTGACCTCGTCTGCTGCCCGTCCCATTCACTGACGCCTATAAAAAGCGCCAGTCTTCTTGCCTTTGCTCCAGACTCTCCTCCACCACGATGCTGTGAACACTAACTCCAAGGCCGAGGGACTGATTACCTCATCTTTTGTATATAGTTCTACTGTCTTCCTATTATGTCCTAGAATCTGTATTGATAAAGCCACTGGATGGCGAAACGTCTACTACAATAAAGATATCCAGATGTTGCACATGTGTCTTAACTTTCATATTGTCGGTATTTTATACCTTTCTTTGCACAACAGGTCACATTGACTTAAGGGAGGAACACGGCAACCGACCTGTTAGCACAAGCTATCAGGTCTAACTCACACCCACCCACATCTACTCATGTATTTATCCAACCTATTTTTAAAGCTACACAACGTTCTGGCCTCTATAACGGTACTTGGGAGTTTGTTCCACTCATCCACAACTCTATTACCAAACCAGTACTTTCCTATATCCTTCCTGAATCTGAATTTTTCCAACTTAAAACCATTGCTGCGAGTCCTGTCTAGGCTAGATATTTCAGCACACTATTTACATCCCCTTTATTTATTCCTGTCTTCCACTTATACACCTCAATCATATCCCCCCTAATTCTACGTCTTTCTAGGGAGTGCAGTTTCAGGGCCCTTAGTCTATCCTCATAGGGAAGGTTTCTGATACATGGGATCATCTTTGTCATCCTCCTTTGTACATTTTCCAGAGAATTTATATCCATTCTGTAATACGGTGACCAAAACTGTGCAGCATAATCTAAATGAGGCCTAACCAAGGATGTATAGAGTTGAAGAACAACCTGAGGACTCCTATTATTTATGCTTCTTGATATGAAGCCAAGGATTCTATTAGCTTTATTGCGAACACTTATGCACTGTTGTCTTGGTTTCAGATTACTGCTAACCAGAACTCCTAAATCTTTTTCGCAATCCGTAATATTAAGATCTACATTATTTAGTTTATATGTGGCATGGTTATTGTCCTGTCCAACATTTAGAACTTTGCATTTGTCTATATTAAACTGCATCTGCCACTTCTCCGACCACTGCATCAGTCTATTCAAATCTTCCTGGAGTGCTCGAATGTCCTCGTCAGAATGAATTCGACGGCCTATTTTGGTGTCATCGGCAAACTTGCCGATGTCGCTCTTTATGCCCTCATCTATGTCGTTTATGTAGATTGTGAACAGCAGGGGGCCCAACACTGACCCCTGTGGAACACCGCTCGTGACGCTTCCCCACTCTGATTTCTCCCCATTTATGCAAACTCTCTGCTGCCTATTTGTCAACCATGCCTCTATCCAGGAAAAAATTTCTCCTCCTATTCCATGTGCTTTAATTTTCCTCAATAGTCTCTGATGTGGGACCCTGTCAAAAGCCTTACTGAAGTCCATATACACAATATCATATTCATTACCATGATCTACCTCCTCAAATACCTTAGTGAAAAAAGTTAATAAATTCGTAATATTATTACTGCATTCTTCCTGGGAAATAGGAGGTAATCAGGCTCTATCCGAGAATAGGACGGTCAGGTTGTTTCCTGGATCAAAAGCCCCTCACCAGGATCAGGGAACCACCCTTGAGGGGAGCCCTGGGACAAAAAAAAAATTAACATAAGGTGTTTTTGTCCTATTTTGCACTTTAACTCGGGGAATGGGGGGGATGCTTTTGTCCGGATCCCAAGCATGGTATGTATCATTTAAAAAAAGAAACACACAGGGAGGGGGGGGGAATATTCACCTATATGTTGCAGGGGTCGATTTACAGTTCCTGGTCCCGCCTCTTCGCTTATCGCTACTAATTTCACTCTCTCCCGGCTCCTAGTGTCTTATAAGAACATACCACCTTGATGTGGGTGAAGGGCTCTTGATGCATAAAAATGGAACTGTTTGCTTCCCATTTACCAATTACCTGTCGCATGCACGGCACCAATGGATGTAGTTCTCCATGAATGTACTACAGTGCTACTAATAATCAAGTCAAAATAATACTTATTTTTACAAGTACATGTACAAGGTATACAGGCTTAGCTGACATCAATGACATACTACTACACAGATTATTATTATTATAATCAAGGGGGAAGCGCTAAACCCGGAGGATTATACAGCGCCTGGGGGGGGGATGTGGAAGGCATTCAGGCTTAATTTGGGGAACTGGAGCACAGATCCAATTCCCTAAATCAAGAGCCCCTCACCAACATCAAGGAACCTTCCTTGAGGGGACTACTACACAGAAAGGCCCTTGTTATGCAGAGCATTTCGGGCAAATTTGGTCAATTTTGTCCCCAGGATGCGACACGCTAGTCGGCTAACACGCAGACACCCAGGTACCTATTTCGCTGATAGATGAACCCGTACCCCAATGGACCCCAATGGAAATAAGTCACTCTGTCTGACTTTTTTGGGTTATCCTAGGTTCTCTACACATATGCTGCTATGTATGATAATTTTATGTAACTGTATTTGTGTATACCTGAATAAACTTACTTACTTACTTACTTACTTACTTACCGGGGATCGATCCCCGGACCTTAATGTGTGAGCCGAGTGTACTAACGATCAAGCTACGGGTATATAATATCGACAAAGCGGGCTTTTTCAAGTCACAAACAGATCTGTTTGTGACTTGAAAAAAGCCCACTGGGTGGGCGAAACGTTGTCAATAAAGGATCACATTATACTGCATATGTGTTTATATTTCCATTATGTCGATATTTTATACCATTTATTTCCTCTGTATCTGACTGAAGAAGTCTGCTGTGTTTACCTGGAGTTTACCTGGAGAGAGTTTCGGGGGTCAACGCCCCCGCGGCCCGGTCTGTGACCAGGCCTGTGTAGGCGAAACGTTTCAACAAAGATACCCAACTTTTTACACATGTGTCCAAATCATCAACTTGTCAATACATTATACCATTATTAACCTACTTACTACAAGGTGTACATGGGCAGCAGATTTAAGGAAAGTTTTAGGCCTACTGGCCTAAGCCTTCTCACAAATAAGTATTCTCACTCCACCATACTCACTCAAAATATTCCTGAACTCTTCCCTGGGTATCTGGTTACAAAACTGATAGATGAATTCCGGTTAGAAGCCCCATTCACTGAGAGGCCCTTGAACCAGGAGACTGCCACCGCGTGCCCTCCTCCTCATGCCCAGGCTTCATACTGGTGTTCTGAGGTCTGTCTGCTGGCGGCTGCTGCCAGGATATATTATTTCTTCCAAAAAAAAATACTCCTGGTGCAATTTCTTCCATTTGACTTATTCCTTCCCAAATTTTGTGACTTATAAATACAAAAAAGAATGCATAGATGGGTATATTTTACTGTTGCAATGTGCTAATTAATAGGACCCCAATGGAATTAGCCCCTGATTTTTTTGGGTTGTCCCAGGTTGTTTTATATATGTCAGCTATGTATGATAATCTATGTGACTGTTTTTGTGTATACCTGAGTAAACTTACTTAAAGCTTAAAGGATTACACCGGTGTTGTGGTTCGTACGTTTGACTACGTGCGGCTAGCAGTAACAAGCCGGTTGATCTGGCCCTGATCCACTGCGAGGCCTGGTCGTGACCGGTTCGCGGGGGGCGTTTATCCCCGGAATACCTTCAGTGTAGACTCCAGGTAAACCATGATTTGTAGAGGTAGTTTATCCATTTATTAAAGATATGGAGTATGCACTACATAAGGTTTGGGGGATAATAATTAACAAATATTCTTATCCAACTCCTATAACCCTGGAGGATGTTCGGGGTTCAAACGCCCCTCTGCCAGGTCCTTGGCCAGGTCTCCCGGTGGATTAGGGCCTGATCAACCAGGCTGTTACCACTAGTGGACTACACCTCTCCTTCCCATAGGTATATAAGTCTTTATACTGTGGTTTTTGAACTTCACATTTGCATCAGGCTATGGAACAAAACTATCCAGACGAGGGACTGCCACCTCAAAACTAGTTCTTCTAGGGTGATAGACTGATGGACATCGTCTTCACATCTTACCACTTCTGCAACCTTCAGTCGAGGCTACCTCTCCATCCGTAACATGAAAACTAAGCTGTGCAGTTTGGAGGGACTTCCCTCTTCTCAAATGTATCTTACCACAAAAGCCACGAGGTTATCTACGACGTAAAGCCATATCAGGACCTTAATTAATCTTCCTCTGCATCCCGAGATTTGTTGACGAGTTTGAACTCTGTTTGTTAATTCCAATTTTTTTTTCTAGCATTTATACAGGCTTTACCAAACAAAACCTTCGGCATGTGAATGGGGTTCCCCATCAGTGCCGTCCTAGCCAACTTGTACAGGAACACCCTAGAGTCCAAAAACACTTCGCCAACATCATCTCTTCAAGCTTCACATGGGTATGTTACTTGGAGACGTCGTCCTCGTAATAACTCACAAACGTTTTGATGTACTGAATCTTCTGGCAAGGCTCAAACACAGGTGACGGCGATCCAGTTTACATTAGAGGAAGAGGCCATTCCAAAGTAGACAAAAAACCGAAGGATTAAGTTTATGGGAAGCCTACAATAAAATATGATCTCACACCACTTCTATTACAGTCAAGATACTAAGGACAAGAGAGGATCATCTTTTTCTACGAGCATAACGAATTTGTAGTCCTGAGTTGTCTTGACGAGGAATGTACATACATTCACCAACCTGACTGATTTTACATTTTCCTTCCTTTTTTCGTCTAAGACTGCAAGAAAAGAGCTCTTCAGATCAGTAATTCTCCACGCACCAAACACCACTCCCAACGTTATAATTCTTTCCAAAGCCAGGTTGCACTGAACGTTTCTAAAGTACTTTCACAGCTAACACAGAGTCGCTCATCGCTTTCCAGCACTTCGATAAAGGACTATAACCAGAACCATCGTAAATCAGCACCACGAAACCAGTCAAGCAGGGGGTGTACACTTCTACCCTGGTGGAGGCTGCGGACAAGAGTTATTAGGTGAAACAGCCAAGAAAACCTCGACACCCACCTCAATGAACACATTTTACGCATGTTGGAACGATAACTTGAACAACGCCTGTGTACTACAACCGAAATTCCATCCAATCATCTCATGAAGTTCTGGGACGCCAATTAGTGATCAAAGAAATTATTTCCGCAGCCGCACTGTGCCTTGAAATCTTCACTAATAGCTGTTTCTAATACAATTTTAACAAAACAAAGGCAAAATGGGATACAATACCGAAGGTTGTTAGGTAAGACACATAGCAACCCCCAGGTTTTTTTTAGGGTTAGGACAAACATATTCCGATACGTTTCGCCTACACAGCAGCTTCCTTCAGTCGAATACAGAAAGTAAGGCAGGAACAGTAGAGATGTGAAGACGACTGTAATCAGGTCATCACCTTAAAAGTCGTAGAATTTGAGGTTTGACGTCCTCGGCCTGGAGAAGTTCAGGTTCCTAGTCAGGAACTATCTGAAGATTAGGCGACAGTGCGGAGACTTAAATACTGTCGGAGGAGAGGTGCAGGGTAAGTAGTAGTGTGTAGATTAGTAGTGAGAGGCAAAACGGAGAGGGTCATGTCCCTCTCAGATCAACCCTTCTCACTTGAAATGCTTGTCCAAGGTGTTTTCTGTTACCAAGATGCCACGTGTTGCTGATTGTCTGACAAGATGGAAGTTTTTAATCAAAATGGTATACAATACCGACAGGTTGTTAGGTAAGACCATATGCACAGTTAGAACCAACTGTTTATGCCGAACGTTCGCCCTACACAGCAGGGCTTCCTCAGTCGAATACAGAAGTAAGGCAGGAACAGTGAGATGTGTAGACGATGTAATCAGTCCATCACCCTTAAAGTCCGTATGAATTTGAGGTTGTCAGTCCCTCGGCCTGGAGAAGTTCAGTTCCATAGCAGGAACTATCTGAGATTAAGGCGACTGTGCGGAGATTATTACTGTCGGAAGGAGAGGTGCAGGGTTGTAGTAGTAGTAGTAGTTGTAGTGGAGGCACTGAGAGGTATTGTCCGCTCTGATCCAACCCTTCTCCTTGAAAAAGCTTGTCCAAGGTGTTTTTCTGTACCATGATGCCACGTGTTGCAGTGTCTGACAAGATGAACATCAAATTGGTTTATAAAATACCGACAGGTTGTTAGGTTAAGACCATATGCAACAGTTAGACAACCTTTATCGAATAACGTTTCGCCTACACAGCAGGCTTCCTCAGTCGAATACAGAAAGTGGCAGGAACAGTCGAGATTGTTGTAGACGATGTAATCAGTCATCACCCTTAAAGTCGTAGATTGAGGTTGGTCAGTCCCTCGGCCTTGGGAAGTCTGTTCCATAGTCAGGAACTATTGAGATTAGGACAGTGCGGGGAGACTTAATTCTGTCGGAAGGAGAGGGCAGGGAGTAGTAGTAGTAGTTGTAAGTTGTAGTGAGAGGCAACTGAGAGGTTCATGTCCCTCTCAGATCCAACCCTTCCACTTGAAAAGCTTGTCCAAGGTGTTTTTCTGTCCAAGATGCCACGTGTGGCTGTGTCTGACAAGTGATACATCAAATGGTATTCCAATACCGACAGGTTGTTAGGTAAGACACTAGCAAACAGTTAGCAACTATATTCGAAATCGTTTCGCCACACAGCAGGGATTCCTCAGTCGAATACAGAAAGTCGGCAGGAACAGTAGAGATGTGAAGACGATGTAATCAGTCCATCACCCTTAAAGGTCGTAGAATTTGAGGTTGTCGTCCCTCGGCCTGGCAGAAAGTCAGTTCATAGTCGGAACTATCTGAAGATTAAGCGACAGTGCGGCGGACGAGGACTTAAATACTGTCGGAGAAGGAGAGGGTGCAGGGTAGTAGTAGTAGTTAGTTTAGTAGTAGTGAGAGGCACTCTGAGAGGTTCATGTCCTCCTCTCAGATCCAACCCTTCTCACTTGAAAAGCTTGTCCAAGGTGTTTTCTTGCTACCAAGATGCCACGTGTTGCAGTGTCTGACAAGATATGAACATCAAAATGGTATACCAATTACCTGACAGGTTGTAGGTAAGGACACAATATGCAACAGTTAGGACAAACTTTATTCGAAACGTTTCGCCTAACAGCAGGCCTTCCTCAGTCGAATACAGAAAGTAGGCAGGAACAGTAGACTGTGAAGACGATTGTAACCAGTCCATCACCCTTAAAAGTGTAGAATTTGAGGTTGTCTAGTTCCCTCGGCACTGGAGAAGTTAAGTTTCCATAGTCAGGAACTATCTGAAGATTAGCGACAGGTGCGGAGACTTACATATGTCGGAAGGAGAGGTGCAGGGTAGTAGTAGTAGTAGTAGTTAGTAGTGAGAGGCAACTGAGAGGTCATTCCCTCTCTAGATCCAACCCTTCTCACTTGAAAAGCTTGTCCAAGGTGTTTTCTGTACAAGTGCCAGCCGTGTTGCTGTGTCTGACAAGTGACATCAAATGGTATACATATACCGACAGGTTGTTAGGGTAAGACACATATGCAAAACAGTTAGACAACTTTATTCCGAAACGTTTTCGCCTACACAGCAGGCTTACTCAGTCGAATACAGAAAGTAGGCAGGAACAGTAGAGATGGGAAGACGATGTAATCAGTCCCATCACCTTTAAAGTCGTAGAATTGAGGTTGTTTGTCAGTCCCTCGGCTCTGGTGAAGTTCAGTTCCATAGTCAGGAACTATTGAGATTAAGCGACAGTGCGGAGACTTAAAATACTGTCGGAAGGGAGGTGCAGGGTAGTAGTAGTAGTAGTAGTAGTAAAGTGAGAGGCCACACTGAGAGGTCATGGTCCCTCTCAGATAAAACCCTTCTCACTTGAAAAGCTTGTCCAAGGTGTTTCTGTTGTACCAGTGCACGTGTTGCAGTGTATGACAAGATGAACATCAAAATGGTATACACTACGCAGGTTGTTAGGTAAGCACCATATGCAACAGGTTTAGACAACTTTATTCCGAACCGTTTCGCCCTACAAGCAGCTGGCTTCCCTCAGTCGGAATACAGAAATTAGGCAGGAACAGTAGGGGGGAAAAAAGGGTGGGATGTGAAGACGATGTAATCAGTCCATCACCTTAAAAAGTCGTTAGAATTTGAGGTTGTCA